AGGGAAGAGAGAGGAGCTGCTTGATTCCCCTTTCTTCCGGATACTGCTTGAATCGCTGAGAGGTGTATCTCCTCCCCCGTCTGACTGGAAGCTTTTCAATTTTACGCCCGACTCTCTCTCTGCTACTGGAAACCCAAGCAGCGAATGCTGCGAGGACCATGTCGCGGCTGGGTAGGTTTAGATGCCAGACGTAACGATGGCGGCGCGATGAAGGTGATTGTGTAGTTATAGATTACTTGTCCTGGTTCCCGATTGTACAGGATGTCGCTATACACCTTTTCGAGTGGGTGAGTACGCGCGTGTGCTCGGTCGGGTTGTGATGAGGAAGTGAACGAGGCCGATGTGGTAAGTCGGCTTCGGGGCAGGTAAGACATGTTCCTCGTCCCGTTGAAGTTCTCTGCCGTCGAGTAGTAGTAACGAGTCCTTGTCAAGGACTCCTGCTCTTATTGTGTGTTTAGCACGGTGTTGCTTGGGTGTCCCATGCGTGCGTGCCAGATGTCTTCGGAGGCGCGGTGTCCGGGGTGAGCGTCGATACGCGTCGGAGTTGGAGTAGAAGCGGCGGTGAAGTTTGCGCTTCTATGGACTTCCCGTTGGGCCGGATTTAGCTGCTGTGCGGGTGTTGGTGGTGCTTCGTCGACGAGGACGGTGTCGTTGTTGCTGCTACTGTTGTGTTCCTGCTATTGCCGATGACGTCTCTGCTGCTGCCGAAGTTGTCTTTGCTGCTGCCGATGTTGTTTATGCTGCTGCCAAAGTTGTCTCTGCTGCTGCCAAATGTTGTATTGTTACTAACGCGCGTGTTCGTTCTGCTTCAGGAATGGTATAGGAATACCAAAAAACCTTCCGGACTGAAGTCTGGATCAAGATCTGGAGGGTGTGTCCAGTCGGCGAAGTTGACGATGGCGTCGCTGTCGGCGGTGCCAAGATCAGGGACAAAGTCGAGGACGAAGACATTGTTCTTGAGGACCGCCTTGCCGATGTAGAGACCTCTCCCGTGATACAGTTTGAATTCGGGTGGTGCTGTCTGTGCTTCGAGGTGTATGCCTTTCGCCATCAGCTGACTAAGTTCAGTAAGTTGTAGCCGAGTCCCTCCGCGATTAGTACTTTGACATCTGTAGTATAAACATTTGTCTCTCGTGACTGAAGTTGCACAATCCCTTGTCGTCGTGTGCGCAGGTTCTGGTATTGGCGACTGTGATGACGACCTCTCGTTGAAGTCGGTGCTCGCGTTGAACGAAGCGTCCGAGGAGCACATGTGTTGTCCGCAGCAACTTTCCAAGAACCACGTGTCCTTCCCGGACGGTTCGCTTTGAGCGATGGCGGCGTACGTCGGGTTCGGTTGAAGTGACTCGTGGTGAGGCGTGCTGTTGTCGAGTTGTTCTTCTGGTGAGAGTAATATGGTGGTGACTCAGTTACGCAGGAGTCGCTCAGTCTTGCCATGCAGCTGATGATGTTTCTTATTTCTTTTGCAGGTTGTCCTGTCGATGTTGTTGACACTTGTGCTGAAGTTGTCGGATTTGCTTGCGTTTGAAGCGACTTGATTGCTTGAAGGGCGAAGTTGGCGTTGCGGCGATGTTGACTGTGTCGATCTTGGGCAGTGCGTACGAGGATGCCCTGAAGTCTTGCAGAGAGTGGCAGAACGGAGGTACTGGCTTCGGTTGTTGCTGCCGGTTATTGTTGTTGTAGTTATAGTGTCGCTTGAGTGTGGAACGCGAATTCCGGTGTTGATACCTTTCTATTGTGTCGTTCTTCTTGCAGGTCCATGTCTCTGCTGCTCAGCATGGATTTCGGCGCAGAGTGCTGCTTCGGATATTCTCCCGTGTGCTCTTAGTATGGCGCGAGTGGAGCGCCAGTGAGGACCAAGATGTCGGAACATTATATAGCTTATACATTTGTGTAGGCTTATAGTGGGGTATTCCCATAGGGGGTACAACCTAATTAGGGTTAGTACTTGTACCCACTTCTTTCATAGTTCATTCATCCTCTCGTTTCAGTTTTCTCATGGTATCGAGCAGGTTCCCTTGTGGGAACTGTTCCTAGGGCCCACCAACTCGAAAAAAAAAATTCCTGCCCGTAGCGCGCTCAACCCTAGCCCGAGTCGCGCTCCCCCTTCCTCCACCCAGTCACGCCACCCTAGCGGCCCGGTGCCTACCTCGTGGCCCTCACGCCGCCTTGCAGCCTCATCGCACGCCCGACGGCCCGCGCGCCGCCCTTTTACGGCCCGCGCGCCGCCCTTCCTGGCCCGAGCGCTGCCCTTCCTGGCCCCGATCTGCCGCCCTACGACCTCGCCGCCTACCTCGCGGCCCGCGCGCCGCCCTCTCCTCGGTCCCGATCCGCCGCCCTCCGGCTTCGGCGCCTACCCTACGGCCCCAGCCGCCTACCTGCGGTCCCGCCGCCCTTACGTTGCGGCCCCGCCTACTACCTGTGGCCCCGCCCTTACGTGCGGCCCCGTCGCCTGCCTGCGGCCCCGCCATTACCTGCGGCCCCACCACCCTACCGGCGGCCCCGCCCTTACCTGCGGCCCCGCCGCCCTCAACTGCTGCCCCGTCGCCCCTTACCTGCGGCCCCGCTGCCCTCACCTGTGGCCCCGCCGCCCATACCTGCGGCCCCGCCGCCCTCACTTACGGCCCCGCCACCCTTTCTTGCGGCCCCACCACCCTCACTTGCGGCTCCGCCGCCCTTACCTGCGGCCCCGTCGCCTGCTGCAGCGCCGGCCGCCACCCGACGCCGCCCGCAGCCGCCTCACCCAGCCGAGCAGCCGACCGCCGCGCCGCCCTGCAGCAGCACAGCCGAGCCGCCCAGCAGCCGAGCAGCCGAGCAGCCGAGCGCCGAGCCGCCAAGCCGCCTTTGCAACCGAGCCGCCCAGCAGCCAAGCCGCCGTACAGCCGAGCCGCCGGGCCGCCGAGCCGCACCTGCTAGCCGAGCCGCCCAACAGCCCAGCAGCCGAGCCGCCGTGCAGCCGAGCCGCCGAGCCGCCGAGCCGCCCCTACCACCGAGCAGCCCCCGTCCAGTAAGCATAGCGCCTCTGTCACTGCACTGCCCCTACCGTACTGTTTGCGCTGCTAGTCTACTGTTGTCATGGCTACCCCTAGTGTCCTCGCTCTTGACGCCGAGGGTCGAGCCATTGACTTTTGACATCTGGGTAGATGACCTGCAGCTGTTCTTACAGTGCGATAGGGCAGACGGTCTCTCTCTCTTTGACCTCACTTCTGGCGCCTCTCCTGCCCCTGCTGCTGATGCTGACGCCACGGTTCGCTCCCCAGTGGACAACGCGCGACACTGCTGCACGTCTTGCTGTGCGTCGCCACCTGCCTACCTCTGAGCGTGCGCACTTTAGTAAGTACAAGAGTGCTCAGACCTGTACGACGCTGTAGCTGCACGCTACTCCTCCCCTGTCACTGCTGCACTGAGCCGTCTCATGCTACCATACCTCTTCCCTGACCTTGCTGCCTTTCCCACAGTCGCTGACCTCAATTACGCACCTCCGCACTAATGACACTCGCTTACCGCGCTGCGCTTCCTGCTGACTTCTGCGCCAAGAACCCCCCCCCCCCATATATATCACCCTCTACTACATAGTCAACCAACTCCCCTGACTCCCTACGCGTAGATAGGGACCACTTCCTCGCAGTGTGCCCCACCACTCTCACCGTTGACCTCCTCGAGAAGGCCCTCCTAGCGGCGGAGAGAAGAGCATAGTCGCTGTAGGAGCCTCTCGTGGTGACCCCCGCACCCCTGTCTTTGAGGGGTGTTCTCCCTCCCCCCTCTTGCCCTCTGTTGCTTCTGCTGCTGCGGCCGACCTCGTTGGTTTTGAGTCGGTCGGTGCTGCGTCTGCCCCTTCGGGGTAAGCGCCGCACAGGCAAGGGCAAGGGGGGCAAGGGAGCTGGAGGAGCTGGTGGGGGCGGTGGAGGCGGCAGTGGAGGCGGCGGAGGCGGCGGAGGTGGCGGTGGAGCTGGTCGCGGGTCTACGCAAAGGAGTGGCTCTGGTGGTGGTCCGCGCCAGCAGCAGCAGCGTGGTCGTGAGACCCTGTCCCCTCAGCAGCTCCGTGAGTGGTACACTACACGCCAGCGGTGGTGGGGTTTTGGTCCGTGCACCTACGTTCTGCGCACCGGCGACCGTGCGCTGTGAGCAGTGTGCGGGTGCGCACCCACCCAGCGCTGCTTTTGGCCGCCTGACGGACGCGTGGCGTCACCAGTTCCCTGAGGCCACAGAGATCCCTCGCTGGGGCGAGCTGTCTAGGGCGGGAGTTGCCATCTTTGATCTTGATTTTGATGCTATTCTCTCTGCCATGTATGCTGTGACTAGTAGTGATGAGGGTGACTGTTACCGGTGTTTCCCGCCCGATCCGGGCATTGAGACTGCTGCTCTAGGGTACTGGTGAGGCTGCTGCCCTAGGTGCTTGCGAGGCTACTGCTCTAGGTGCCAGTGCGTGTGCGTCCTCAGGTACTGGTGAGTCTGCTCTCTCAGGTACTGCATCGGCTTTCGGCCTCCCTCACCTTCACCCTTGACTCGGGGGCTTCTCACTCCTTCTTTCGAGACCGCACCACACTCACGCTGCTTGGTCGGCCGGTTGCACTGTCTCTGGCTGACCCCTCTGGGGGTCCTGTCCTGTCTCACTTCTCCACAGTCTTCCCGTGTCCGGCGGCTCCCTCTGGCACCCTGTCTGGTCTTTACCTCCCCTCGCTCTCTACGAACTTGGTGAGTGGTGCTGACCTACAGGATGGGGGAGTGCACCAGTTCACTCCTGCGAGTCAGCGGGTGATGCACTGCACTGAGGCTCGGACAGGCCGACACTTGGCTACGTTTACACGTCAACCCGGGGTCGAGCCTGTACACACTGACCACTGAGTCTCCTCCAGTCACTGAGTCTGGTCGGGTAGCTGCGTCGGGTCAGGTGTTTACTGCAGCGTCCAGGTCTGGTCCCGAGTCTGCCCTCTGTTCGTCCGGCTCCTGTCCCAAGAGACTCTCCTCTGGCACCACCGCCTTGGTCACCCCTCTCTGCTTCGTCTTAGAGGCATGGCCCTCCCGTCTTCTTGTTTCTGGTCTTCCCCGGTCCCTCCCTCCCCTTCCTCAGGGGCCTGGCCCTACCTGTGTCCCCTGTGTCGAGGGGCGCCAGCGGGCTGCCCCTCACTCCTCCCAGTTTCCTCCGACAGAGGCCCCGCTGCAGACGCTCCACATGGACGTGTGGGGCCCAGCCCGCGTCCGTGGACAGGGTCACGAGCGCAACGTCCTGCTTGTTGTTGACGACTACTCGCGTTACACCGCAGTCTTCCCCTTGCGCAGCAAGGATGATTTCACTGAGGTGCTGATCGACTGGATCCGCACAGCTCATCTCCAGCTCAGGCAGAGCTTCGGCTCGGACTTTCCTGTTCTGCGTATGCACTCGGACAGAGGCGGAGAGTTCTCCTCTGGCCTTCTGAGAGCCTACTGTCGCGCACGAGGCATCCGTCAGACCTTCACGCTTCCGGACTCTCCGCAGCAAAATGGGATTGCTGAGCGCCGCATTGGCATGGTCATGGACGTCGCTCGTACGTCTATGATGCATGTGGCTGCCCCCCATTTTCTGTGGCCGTTTGCGGTGCGGTACGCGGCGCATCAGATCAACCTTCACCCCAGGGTCTCCAGGCCGGAGACCTCCCCGGCCTTGCTGTGGACGGGGAAGGTTGGCGATGCATCTGCGTTCCATGTCTGGGGATCTCGGGCGTTTGTCCGCGACTTGTCTGCGGACAAGCTATCCCCTCGTGCTGATCCTTGCGTCTTCCTGGGGTTCCCCCCCTGACGCGCCTGGGTGGCAGTTCTACCACCCCACCTCTCGCCGTGTTCTGTCCTCCCAGGACGTCACGTTTGACGAGTCCGTCCCCTACTACCGCCTCTTCCCCTACCGCACTCCGTCCCTCCCCCCGCCCCCGCTCTTCCTTGTACCAGGTCCCCCCCCGATAGACCCCCTCCCCCCTCAGGGTCCTGCCCCTTCAGGTGTGTCCCAGGTAGACGCAGTCGAGCTTGTCGAGGTTACTGGGGACTCTGGTGCTGCTGGGGGTACTGAGCCTGGGGGTGCTGAGCGTGCGGGTACTACTCCTGGGGGTGCTGAGCCTGGGGGTGCTGAGCCTGGAGGTGCTGAGACTGGGGGTGCTAAGCCTAGGGGTGTTGAGCCTGGTGGTGTTGAGCCTAGGGGTGCTGAGCCTGGGGGTGCTGTGCCTGGGGGTGCTGAGCCTGGGGGTGCTACACCTGGGGTGCTAAGCCTGGAGGTGCTGAGCTTGGAGGTGCTACGCCTGGAGGTTCTCCGGGTGCTTCGTCTCGGCGCGAGCTACTCTCTCCACAGGAGCTGCGCGAGTGGTTTGCCCGGCGCTGGAGCCGTGCTGCTGGATCTAGAGGTTTCTTCGGCTACTGAGGGTGCTGGTGTCGCGGGTCCCGGAGGTGCTCGTACTGGGAGTACTATAGCTGCTGGGCCTGCGGGTACGACTGGAGCTGGAGCTACTCAGGGTGTTGGCGCTGAGGCTACTGCTAGCGGTCCTGCTGGAGGTGCTACTGGTGCTGCTGGAGCTGGAGGTGCTGCTGGCGCTGTTGCTCCTGCTGGGGGTTCTGGTGCTGTCCCTGCTGTGTCTGGAGTCGCCGCGCGGCCTCGACCGTACGTCGTTCCGCTCCTGCAGCAGGTTCTTGGTCTTCCCTCTTCTACTGGTCCTCCTCCTCCCTTTGAGTGTCCATAGTCTGTCCAGTCGCGGTCACAATTACAGCCCGCCTCCCCCCTACCTGCTCCTTCTCCCTACACTGGTCCTACTGGAGGTCTTGCTCAGCGTCGTGAGCCTGCGTCTCGCCCTGCGTCGCCTGTCCGTCCTACTCGCACTAGTGGTCGTGGTTCGCGTCAGCGTCCTCCTCCTGTCCCTTGGCACGCACCGGATGTCTCTGCGTCCGTCCACTGCTCCTCTGCGTGCCCCTTTGCCTTCTCCTCCTAAGCCCTCTCTTCCTGCTCTTACCGACCCGGAGTCGGACTCTCTTCGTGCTGCCAGTCCTACTGTCACGCGTCTCCTTGCTACTGTCATCATTGACCCTTCCTTCGAGTCCACTGCTGCGTCTGCCCTAGTTGCTGAGCTCGTCGACTTTGCTGCTCGCTGTCGCCTAGACTACGCTGCTAGTCTTGTCGCTGAGTCTGAGTCTGTCTGTCCTCCGTCCGTCGGGGGTGAGTTTGTCCTTGGCACGGACGTCCTTGAGGACAGGCAGGAGGAGTTCCAGTGTCTGGCAGCTGCTTCACCTCATCTCGTGTCCGTACTGCTTACCCCTGAGGGAGACCCGGATGCACTTGACATCCCGACTCCGCTCTCTTACGCGGAGGCAATAGAGGGTCCCTACTCTTCTCAGTGGCAGGCAGCTATGGACAATGAGATGGCTTCCTGGAAGTCCACAAGCACCTACGTTGACAAGGTTCCCCCACATGGGGCGAACATCGTTAGTGGCATGTGGATCTTTAGGGTGAAGCGGCCGCCGGGTTCTCCGCCTGTCTTCAAGGCACGGTACGTGGCTCGTGGCTTCAGTCAGCGGCAGGGAGTTGACTACTATCAGACCTTCTCTCCCACCCCGAAGATGACCACTCTTCGGGTACTGCTGCACGTTGCTGCTCACCGTGACTACGAGCTGCACTCTCTTGACTTCAGCACAGCTTTCTTGCAGGGCAGCCTGCACGAGGAGATCTGGCTGCGCCGCCCACCTGGCTTCACTGGGTCGTTCCTCCCTGGTACCCAGTGGAGTCTCCGGCGTCCAGTCTACGGTCTCCACCAGGCGCCCCGTGAGTGGCACGACACACTGAGGACTACGCTTGCGGCTCTTGGGTTTGCTCCTTCTACTACTGCCGACCTGTCGCTGTTTCTGCGCACCGACACCTCTCTGCCGCGGTTCTACATCCTCATGTATGTCGACGACTTGGTCTTTGCCACAGCTGACACTGTTGGACTCGCCTACGTGAAGTCCGAGCTGCAGAAGAGACACACATGCACTGACCTGGGTGAACTGCGCAGCTACCTTGGCTTGCAGATCACCCGGGACAGAGCACGCCGCACCATTACCCTGACTCGGTCACACATGGTGCAGCAGGTCCTTCAGCGTTTCGGCTTCACGTACTCCTCGCCTCAGGCCACTCCTCTGCCTACTCGCCACTCACTCTCACCTCTGCCTTCGGATGAGTCCATAGAGTCGAGTAGCTCGTATCCAGAGCTTGTTGGCTGCCTCATGTACCTGATGACCTGCACACGACCTGACCTTGCATACCCTCTTAGCATTCTCGCACGCTATGTTGCTCGTGGGAGACACCGACCAGAGCACATGGCTACAGCGAAGAGGGTGTTGCGCTACTTGTGTAGTACGTCGGGCATGGGGCTAGTGCTTGGAGGGCGGAGTCCAGTGGTCCTCACTGGGCATGCAGACGCTTCTTCGGCTGATGACCAGGCTACGCAGCGGTCGTCACAGGGTTACACCTTCAGCCTTGGTTCCGGCTCTGTTTCGTGGCGGGCTACTTGCTCGTCTTCTATTCTCGGCTCCAGTTGTGAGGCCGAGATCTACGCAGGGGCCATGGCTGCACAGGAGCTTCGCTGGCTCACCTACCTGCTGACTGACCTCGGAGAGCCGCCTCGTTCTCCTCCAGTTTTGTACGTAGACAACAAGGCCATGCTGGCCTTGTGTCGAGAGCAGAGACTGGAGCACAGAACCAAGCACATTGCTCTCCGCTACTTCCTTGCTCGTGAGCTACAGCAGCGTGGTCAGTTGCGGCTTGCTTACGTGGCCTCTGAGGCCAACACTCCTGATGTGTTCACCAAGGCACTTGCACCTTGTGATCATCAGCGCTTCTGCACTCAGCTGGGTCTTGTGCCTGTCTTGCCTCACTTGCTCACCTCTTGACCTTGCTTGTACTGTCACATATATATATACCTACTCTTGCTTGTCTAGCTTTATATATATGTGTACTCTTGCATGTGAACTGGCCTTGTGGCCTTGACCTTGTGCTCGAACTGTTTGGTGACTTTGAGATCCACCCTGAGCTTGCTTTGCTTGACTGGTCTTGTGACCCCTTGTTCTCCCCCACTTTGCCTATGGGGGTGTGTCGGAACATTATATAGCTTATACATTTGTGTAGGCTGTAGTGGGGTATCCCGTAGGGGGTACAACCCAATTAGGGTTAGTACTTGTACCCACTTCTTTCATAGTTCATTCATCCTCTCGTTTCAGTTTTCTCCCAAGACCGCCGATGACAACCGTGACGAAGCCGTCTTCTGAAATCGATCCTCCACATCGAAGAAGCTTGTCGCGCATCTCGCGGCAGCGACTCATATACGCCATTCCCTTCTCGCCTGGTTTCATTTCGATTGTTGTCCATTAACCGACTTTGGTTTACGCTGTCCGTTGCTTGATACAGGTTCTTCAGGTGATTGTACGCGAGCTCCGCGGAGTTGCCATATCCTCGGTAAGTCCTTATGTTCTGCTGTTGAGTCGGGGTGATGTTCCTCAGTAGTATCGTGTACGCCATCATCGATTGATAGGTGTACTGCTGCTTCTCATACTGTGTGCCGTTTGTTGGGTATGGCAGGGACCCGTCGAAGAAGCCAAGGATTTGCGCTCCTTCCATCATCAGCTCGAATTCGAACGACCAGGTAAAGAAGTCCTTCCCGTCGAAAGGTTTTGTCGTTTGCAGTTTTAAAACGTGCGCGAACTGCGACTGAACTTGTAGTGCGTCCAGCGTTCTTTCTTGTCCCGGTGCAGGTTGTGGTCGCGGCATGAAGCTGACGGAGCCGCGCTGGGGCTCATACGGAGCGAAGGTAGGTTGTTGTTGTTGATTCCCGTGTCCGTAGGATGAGCCATCGAGACTCATGGGCGACACGTTGTTGTTGTTGTTGCTGTTGTTTGATTGCGCAGGTACTCCTTGCTGATGCTGCTCGTAGAAGGACATGAAGGAGAAGAACTTCTCCATCATGCTTGGATCGAAGCCCGCGCCTTGGTTTGCGGGTGTTTCGGTAGACCCTGCTGCCGGTCTCGTTGTTGTGCTTTCCTCTGTCTGTAGGCCAGAGGCAGGAGGTGGAGTAGGAGTAGTACCAGGAGTGCCATTGGAGGAGCTCCTCTCCTTTCTGGTAGACATGTCTCTTGGTGTAATTGAAGGAGAAAATAGATTTTACCCTAACCAGCTCTCATACCATGTTCGGTTGAAAAGCCCCTTAGGATCTTTGATAGGGTAAATCTCTGGTTAGAGTGATGTGGTAGCGGAAGCGTTTAATGATGAGACTTTGAACCACCTTGCATTAGTATGTGAGAACAAAGTGAGTTGATTAAAGCAAACAAGTACAAAGGTTTATATAAGAGTACAAGGAATACGAAGAGATATGAATGATAACTGTTTTACTGTTGGCTGTTGCGGTTCGATACAGGGCGACTCGGGCAACTGCTCAATATCGAGTCAGTTGTGTGTCCTTGCTGTCGCGCTGCTTCTGTCAGGTCAAAGGTCGCTGACCTTTGACTTTCGCGTAACCTCCAGCGGTTACTTCAACCTCCGAGAGTTGACTCGCTTGTGCCTCGGTATGCAGTACTTCGCTTGTGCCTTAGTGTTTCGACACGATAGGAGCGCTTAACACTGTTTGTTTCCAACACATTTATCATCTCAGTCATTTACATTCACCTTGACCTGAGGTCAACACTTCCGTTGCAACATTACGTGCGAACAACCTTAAGCCGATCCCTGGCTAAGTCTTGTTTAGGATTGTAACATAGACAAATAAATATCGAGAATGTGATTTACAAAATGTCGATGCAACGAAAGTGACAGGATTTAGTAAGGGCGAATCCCAGCCAGGCGGGGACGTCAGGTGAAGATGGCTCGGAAATGTGGCGATTGGTGCGGGGGCGACTCTGGAGTGGTGTGGTGTGGGATTGTAGGCCGAACAAAACTGATGCATTGGCCCTTGTTCGCCATCGCTAAGAACCGATTCCTGTAATAATCACTTACAATGATGCTATAGTGAGTGCTCTATTTTTAATTATTATTCATGAAGTCTGAAATTATTTTGGAAGGGACAAATCTTGGTCTTTATGGTATGGTTTAAGAATAATCGAATGATAGTATGATAATGAGCGGTCATATCTATGCATTTTGGCAGTTTTAGCTACTGATTTGCACTCGTGGTGATTTGGAAAGAGTTAATTGTAATTTTGTGCGATGCACATATCCTTTTGGATAAGTTTACAAAGGGTTGTTTGAACAAAGTAGTTATATATTCTGAGAACAAAAAGGAGCGTATTAAGTGGTTCACAAACCATGGGACGCTTACAGGTGTTCTAAGGTGTAATTTCAACCATTTACGGAGGCTTTTTTCAGCGCGTATTCTTCGAGGGGCTCGCTTCGCTTCAGATGACGTTCACAGCAAGTTCCCCCAACAGCCTCGTTAATCTTCCATTCAGTAGTCTTCGGTAATATTCGGTAGTTTCAAATCGAATGCATTTCAGTCCCGCGCACTCATAACTTGTGTTTGATTTCAGATCCCACACATGCTTGTTCACAAGGTCCTCCCGCCTTTTTCCTCTTGAAATATCTTCTCTTGGCTTCATGCCGGTCGCACCGCCATCCATTCTGGCGCCTATCCGGACCTAGCAGCTGCCGTAGTGGCCGGCGCGCGCCATACAGTGCGCGCTGCAGCACTCCTCCACGCTGCTCGCCGCGCCACCTCACGCGCCATCCTGCTACCCCCGCGCCCTTCGCCAACCGCTCACACAAACGGGCGGCGTCGCCGCAAGCGGTAGATCTGGCGCACCTGCCAATCTGGTGCGCTCGCTCGGCTCACGCGCTCATTTTTCGGGCTGCACAACGTGACCGCTCCGCCGCACTCGTCTCTTCCTCGCTCGACGGACGACAAGCGACAGACGACGGAAGGGCGACCCGTGCAGCGATAGGGAGAGGGAGAGAGGAGAGAGTGAGGAGGGTGTGACCGGGGGGAAGAAGGGGGACTGCGGGGAGAGAGAGTGGGCAGCAGCGGCGGCGGCATGGAGGTGTTTTTCTGGGCGGTGTTCGGCGCGCTGGTGGTGCTGTGCGCGGGGCTGGAGGGCAGCAAGGGGCAGCGCGACAAGCTGCAGACGTCGCCCGCCTTCGAGTCCTTCAAGAACAACTACCTCCTCGTCTACTCGCTCATGATGGGTACGGGTTATAACGAGCATCATTATGATTCCTAGGGCTTATAACGAGTGTTCGTGATGATGGCGTGGATGAAATGAGGCATATTTGTGTGTTCTGAACAATTCTGCCCCTATCTCTTCGTCGACCTCTCCTCGCATTGCCTTGCTTCCAATCCATTGGCCGTTCTTGCATTGCCATCGCCTTCATGCATCCATCCGTCAAGGCTGCTCTCGCCATCCTCCTTCCACCATGCACCCTGCTGCCGTGGCAGCGGGCGACTGGTTGCAGGGGCCGTACGTGTACGCGCTGTATCAGCACTACGGGTACGACAAGGGCGACATCGGCCGCCTCTTCATCGCAGGCTTCGGCTCCTCCATGGTCTTCGGCACCATCGTCGGCTCGCTGGCCGATAAGCAGTGAGCATGCTGCATTTGGCAGGCGTTACCGAGCGAGCCTGTGCAAAGGTCATGTGTCACATCACTAGACTGTACTTGCGGGGTTGTGCCTTGCACTCTCACTGCCCCTCCCTCTTCCCTCTTGCTCCCTCGAACGGTCCTTGTATTCATTATAGGATATTACAAGGTAGATGCAAACACATGCAAGACAAACATACCACCTTCTACCCACCCCAGCATCAACTACCCCCCCCCACCCCCCCCCCCCCGCCCCCTCTTGCTCCCTCTCTCTCTGACGTTCTCACTCGCACACGCGCACACAATCACATGCCCTCCCCCTCCCCCTCCCCTCCCCCGCACGTGCATGGCTGGCCGGTGGGCAGTGGGCGGCGGCGCGCATCACTGACATACTGTGGGGTGTACGTGCTGTCGTGCCTCACCAAGCACTCGCCCGACTACCGCCTGCTCATGCTGGGCCGCGTGCTGGGCGGCATCGCCACCTCGCTGCTCTTCTCCGCCTTCGAGAGCTGGCTCGTGGCGGAGCACTTCAAGGTACAGCAAGTCGGGTCTTGGTCTTGTGCTCTTTTCGGTCCGCCACATGCAAGCCTGGCTGCACCACCCACCCGTTCCGCCACTCTGTACAGCCCATTTCGTGTCTCTTCTCCGTCCCCTCCCATGCGCCCTTCCTCCCCGTCCCTCCCAGCGTGGCTTTGAGGCGCAGTGGCTGTCGGTGACGTTTTCCTCGGCCATCTGGCTGGGCAACGGGCTCATCGCCATCCTCTCAGGGCTGCTCGCCAACTCGCTCGTCACGTCGCTGGCGCTGGGCCCCGTGGCCCCCTTTGACGCCGCTGCGCTCGTGCTGCTGCTGGGCGGCGCCATCATCACAGCCACATGGCCGGAGAAACTACGGCGACAGCACCGACTCCAAGGGGCTGCTCGCCCAGTTCCACGCCGCCGCCTCCGCCATCGCCTCAGGTGGGCTGCCATCGCCTCAGGTGGGCTGCCATCGCCTCAGGTGGGCTGCCATCGCCTCAGGTGGGCTGCCATCGCCTCAGGTGGGCTGCCATCGCCTCAGGTGGGCTGCCATCGCCTCAGGTGGGCTGCCATCGCCTCAGGTGGGCTGCCATCGCCTCAGGTGGGCTGCCATCGCCTCAGGTGGGCTGCCATCGCCTCAGGTGGGCTGCCATCGCCTCAGGTGGGCTGCCATCGCCTCAGGTGGGCTGCCATCGCCTCAGGTGGGCTGCCATCGCCTCAGGTGGGCTGCCATCGCCTCAGGTGGGCTGCCATCGCCCCAGGGGGGATGGGGAGGGGGTAAGGACGACGTAGCTACTCAACGGAACAGCGAGCATACGTGCGAGCGAGATGGTGGAGAAAGGTGAAGATGCGGTCTCGAGACATGGAGCTTGCAGGATGTGGCTGAGAGGAGAGGGGAGGATGAAGAGAAAGTCGTTGGTGTGGGAAATTGAGGTAGAGCATATAGAGCTCACGGTTCTTTCATGAAATCACTTGTGAGTTGAGCAGGTCAGGACGGGCTGGAAGTTGAAGGCCATTCTCAATACGATTGGTTGGAGGTTTGGGAGTCTGGTCAGAATGTTTGGGATAGTGTTGTAACATCCAACCCACCAAAACTAGAACAAGCTAAACTATAAAAGTACAATCCCTTTTCACGCACACGGCGATGCAAACGCCAAGGCCGCCATGGCGGTCACCAGGAGCTTTACACGTGCCAATGTCCCTCGATTTCTTATCAGTTCTTAAATCTGAGTCTAGATTCGTACTCCTTAAGACAATAGGAAGCCGATGGTACACTTTTAATGTTCAAAACACGAACATTGATCATTTGGCCTTATTGTCAGGCACTCTCCAGGCTCTTTTTGACAATGGTATCTCAAGGGAACGCGATGGCACCAAGGTTGCTACGGTGGCTATTTCCAAGGTTTTTTCCTCTATGGCACATCGCAAGGCTTCACATTACTACTTATTCAAGCACTGGTGGTGGGACAAACACAAGTTTTGGCGGAGGTTGCTGGTTCACTACCCTCACTATCTGTCATCCTCGGCTGGTTTTCTTTCCGTCTCACGCTTTATCATCATGGCTCCGCCAGAAGGCTCTTCTGCGATCATTGCTCCGAGTGCTGGTCCTCAGGGGAGGAAGCCTGCGGAGGTTCGTCCTGAACCTGTCACCCCCAAGACTCTTTTCAATGGCGCGACAGCTCCGCGTGGTGCCGATGAGATCAACGCTTTGTCTGAGCGCACGTCGGCGTTGCGCATTAATGACCTGCCAGTCGAAGGCGGGGTCAACGGCGCAGAGGTCAACAAGCCAGTGGCGAACACGTCGGACAAGGGAAACGCAAAGATCCAGGATTTGGAGGATGACGGTGGCTACCTCAGCGATGACCCGGATGAGTGTCAAGATCCGGTGGTACTTAACGAGATCGCGGCACAAGCGGGGGTCGCCATCACCCTGCTGGTCCCCTTTGCTTGGAGCAAGGAGATCCCGTGCATCATTGTCACCGTCAACCATCTGCTGTCACTGTGGGGCAAGCACATGTCGGGGAACGTTTGCAAGACAACGAGGTGTCAGAAGCTCACGCCAACATTCCTCTCCAAGCAGCACTTCGGGCGTGTTGAGGTGGTTTTCCTGCAAGAGGCCGATGCGGTTTTCATGAGGAGCAGAGAGATCGAACACTACACGACGAACGACAAGAAGCTCGTCCTGGGGTGGCAATACCCGGAAAACAAGGAATACCTGAGAGAACGCGCGGCTCACCCGGAGGCGATTGAAGTGCTGCTTAAGGGGGTGCCGGCGGTGATCTCACCGGCAATGATCATGAAGAATCTGGTGACTGCGATGCTGGTGAAGCAGGGTCGTACGGCATTCCTTGACGGTTCTGCTTTCCACCGCGTACTGGATCCGGCGTCAGGATCGGACACAGACAAGATAAAAGGGCTGGTTTTCAGGCACCCGGGGGATAAGTATAAATGGTGGCACAAGGTCACTGACCGTGTTCATGGTATCGAGCTGCTGGTGTCGTTCCCTGCGCTCACATGCGGTTTCTGCAGCGGAATGCACATGTCGTGTTTTCATCACAATTATGTTACAGAGAGGCAAAACAACATTGGGAACTGGAGTCTGACGCTGCTTCGCGCCCATGAGTTCAATGGTAATCACCCCCGCTTTCACCTTGTTTTCAGGCGGTCGCAGCAACGGGCCTCCACGCTTACTTCTGTGTCATCCTCCCCCCGAGCAGCTGCCTCTTTGAAGATTACGCCGGCGGTGAAGACCCTGTTGGCGGATCCGGCAATGGCATTTACTTCTACGGGTGGAGTCTGGGAGGAGTGGGTGTGTGCTCAAGAGGAGTGTGGGAAGGCCCATGGTACCAGCTTCGAGACGGCAGTGGAGCACGTCCAGACGATTCATCACGGCACCGGGTTGCTCAAGGCAGGAGCGGCAACGCGTGTGAGCATGGGGAAGCAGAACGTGGCTCAGGTCTGGAAGGAGTTTGGGCTGTGATTGGTCGGTCGGGAGGGTGGCTGCTTCGGAGATTATCAGCGCCAGGAACGTTAACACGGAAAGAGGAGGGGAGGTTGTCTTTCTCAGCCACGTTACGAGGGGTGGCAGTTGCAATACCGGTCGTAGCTCTCATGTGCTGTACTGCGACTAGTAAAGCCCGTGGATGCGAGGGGCTCCCCAGCAAGGGGTTTAATGAGTAACATACTGAATCTCACCATCTGCGGGGTCAATGTGAACGGCCTTCGCAGCAGCGGCAAACGAACTAAGAACCGGCGATGGCTGCGAACAACAGCAGACATAATGGTGCTTTCCGACAGAAGGATTAAGGAGGATCATAATTTCTGGAGCGAGATCAAACCGAAAGTGTGGGCTGCGGTCGGTCCGAGTCAAGCGGCAGGCGGAGTGGCAATCATGTCGTGTAGAAGGAATATTCGCTTCACAGAAGTCACCCCGGACCCCTCTGGAAGGGTGCTGGGTGTGACGGTGGAAGGAGGGGAGGAACCTTTCAGGCTGGTCGCGGCTTATCTCCCTGCACAGGCGTGTAACAGGGCGAAGTTTTACAGGGAACAGCTCGAGCCTTTCATTCAGCTTCAGCCGCAGTCATCGCACCTGGTGGTAGTGGGCGATCTCAACATGATCGCTGACCCGGATTTGGACAAGTCGCCTGGAGCGGGTTCGGGGAGGGAGAACCAGCGCTTCATTGAGATGTGGCAAGGGCATGACCTTGGTGACGCTATCCGTGTGCTGCACCCCACGGACAAGGAGTATACCTTCAGGGTGGCTGCCACACTGTCAAAGTCGCGCATTGACAGGGCACTGATGTCGGCGTCGCTGCTAGGTAACCTCGAGGAGGCCCGACATGTAGAGGTTCCGCGCAAACTTTCCGACCACTGGTTCGCGATCAAGTTACGGCTGAAGTTCGCCTCAGCACGCATATGGCCCGGGGCTCTGGAGGTTCCACGCAACAAGGAGGAAAAAGAAGGGGGTGAGGAAAACCATTAAGGGGGTTGTGGACTCGCTAGACAAGGCAGGAAGGGAGCCGCTGGAGCGCTTGTTATCCAGACTGGCGGCGGCTCTAAGGGCGCATGACAAAGAGGAACGAAAGAGGGTGACGGCAACGCAGTTGCACTTGACGGAGGAGGTGGAGAGGATGCGGCACCTGGTCATGGGGGGGCCGACAGATGATCAGACTTTGGCGCGGTTGCTGACCAAGGAAGAACAGTTAGAAGCCTACCGGGAAAATGAGCGGGAGGTCTTCGCGGGGCTTACGACGGAGCTGCAGGGGGAAATCCCATCGCCGTACCTGTCGGCGAAGGTGAAGATGCGAAAAGAGCGGACTCTGATAGAAGAGGTGGTTTTCAACGGTGAAAGGCACAGAGGCTCACAGGCGGTGCTCAAGGCGGCATCGTTGTACTTCGAGGAGGCTTTCAGGGAGGTGCAGATGGAACCTCAGCTGGCATGCACGGATTTCGCGGTGGACAGAGTTTTACCAGCGGCGGCGGAAGCGGTGGTCAGGCTCGGGGCCCCGTGGGCAGAGCCGGAGGTCAAAGCAGCACTCAAGGGTTTACCGAGAGGGAAGTCACCGGGGCAGGATGAACTCCCCGCGGAACTTTTCGTGTCTCACTGGGACCTGTTAGGAGGGTGTTTCATGGAGTTTGTAAGGAATTTCGAGAAGACGGGCTTGCTGCAGGAATCACTGACGACAGCGGTGACGGTTTTGTTGCACAAGAAGGGGGATAAAGACCGGCTAACAAATTACAGACCAATTCTCCTCACCACAGTCTACAAGGTGCTGGCGAAGGTTATGGCGAACAGGATCAAAAAGGAGCTACACCATGTCATCTCCAAGGAGCAGCACGGGTTCGTACCAGGGCGCAGTCTGGCGGATGCTGTGTCGGTGGTAGCAGACGCGATTGAAGCGGCAGACAATGATGGCGAGGACTGGTACCTCTTGCTCGTGGACTTCCAGAAAGCCTACGACACGGTGTCGCGGCCTTTCCTCTTCCGTACGTTGGAGAAGCTCGGGCTGCCTGCAAATTTCATCAAGTGGGCGGAAGGTCTACACCGGGGGTCAGGGACGAGAATCGCGATTAACGGCTGGCGCGGGGAAAAAGTGGAGATGGAGCGGGTGGTGAGGCAGGGGTGCCCATTAGCTCCCTACCTTTTCCTCTGCGCTTTGGAGCCGCTTTGTGCGGAGATCGCGAGGAGAGGCTTGGGGGTCGGGACAGATGGGGCGAGTCCGATCTCGTATGTGGGGTACGCGGACGACACTTCCCTAATCCTTCGGGGGGCCGATCAGATCCGCTCGGCGGCGGCAGCGCTGGAGTGGTTCGGCGAACTGTCTGGCCTGCGCATTAACCAAGATAAGTCGATCATCATGCCGATGGGGAGGAACAAAGGCAAGACGTCATTGCCCGGGGTGACTTACAAGTGGGCGGAAGACGGGGTTCCTGAGCGGCTACTGGGGGTGTGGATAACACCAGACGGCGACGCGGCTCCGTCCTGGGAGAAAGCGTGGGAGAGGGGGAGGAAGGAATTAATCAAGTGGGAGAACCAGCATCTGCTGACGGCGGCAAGGGTGACAACAGCTATATCATGCCGATTCTCCTCTTCCAGGCTCAGATTTATCCGCCGCGAGAGGAGCTGTGGGCGAAAATCCGCAAAACATGCGATAACTACATTTCCAAAGGCCAGGCGACTGCGGAGAAAATTTTCGTTCTGTGGAGTGGGGAACTGGCCCGACTGCCGAAGAAGGAAGGCGGCTCATCGACCCGAAAGCCAGACTGGACAGCATGGCAATTCGCACGGTGGGGAAGTACCTGACAGAGCAGGACGCCACCAAGAGGTGGTTGACTGAGAAGGCGGCAGCAATGGCGCAAGGGGTGGCGACCCTTTTCGCTCACAAGTCGGCTGGCAACCACTGGGAGAAGGGGAACCAAAGGTGGAAGGCGATCGCAGAAATCTTCCGGGAGTCGCCCTTTGCGGAGCTCCCGGCGCCGACGAACGGTTGGGAGGTCGAATGGGAACTGCTCAGTTTCAACCGGCGCATCATGTTCCGAGGGGGGAGCCCTTTCGGGAACCGGAAAGGAGCGGCAGGTATTCTGAAAAGCAGGCTGGGGGATTTGCTACAGACCAAAGAGGATGGGAGCAGACCAAAGAGGATGGGAGCAGACCAAAGAGGATGGGAGCAGACCAAAGAGGATGGGAGCAGACCAAAGAGGATGGGAGCAGACCAAAGAGGATGGGAGCAGACCAAAGAGGATGGGAGCAGACCAAAGAGGATGGGAGCAGACCAAAGAGGATGGGAGCAGACCAAAGAGGATGGGAGCAGACCAAAGAGGATGGGAGCAGACCAAAGAGGATGGGAGCAGACCAAAGAGGATGGGAGCAGACCAAAGAGGATGGGAGCAGACCAAAGAGGATGGGAGCAGAGAAGTCAAAGACATCGGGGCACTAAGGATACTTTTCGGTAGTGTGGCGACGGCAAGGTGGGCAAAGAAGGCGTCTGAGGCAATGCCGGCGGAGTGGAAGGAGATGTTGGCAACGCCGAAATCGGCGGAAGCAGTGACGGCAGCAGCGAAAGTGGTGAGAACAGTCCTGGCGCGCACGTGGTGAGAACAGTCCTGGCGCGCAAGTGGTGAGAACAGCAGTCCTAGCGCGCACGCAGGAATTTCTCTACTGGACGGTACGGGGCGTCAAGAACGGAGAGGTGGCGACAGACCATTTAGACTGCTCGGACGGAATAAGCCTGGTGGCGCCACAGAGGCCGTACGCGGTCTCGTTCCCCGTCAGGAGCGTGACGCCTGTGGCGGTTAAAGGGGGCAAGGTACTCGGGGCTATGGGGGAGGCGAAGGTTAAGCTCTGCCAGACCGCACTGGTAGAAGATAGCCTGAGGCGGCTGCGCCGAAGGTAATCAGGAAGGCGCTCGTGGGGCCAAAAACAGAGTCAAGGAGGAGGCATGAGTGGGAAGAAGAGTGGGGGAAGAAAATAGATTGGAAGGCGGTGAGGGAGAGGAGGGACTCACTGGTGATCCCTTACAGGGCGCGTGATGTGGTGCTGCGGATGCACAGTAAGAACCTGCAGGTGGGGGGGAGACTGGTTTTCCTGGGCCCCAGGGGCTGCTGCCCGCACTGCGGAGAGCCAGAAACCCTCGACCACTGCATGCTCACTTGCCCAGTTATACAGCCGGTGATTGGCGCGCTACTAAACTCACTGAGGATGATGGACCCCGCGGATCAGACACGCTCATTGGGGGACATGCTCTTTCGGGAAGGGGCCACGAAGTCCGGTTTTCCGGGGGCAACATTGACAGCAGTGACGATGCGAAGAATTCGGTTGGCCAGAGTGGATGGGGTGTACAGGAAGGAGAAATTCCAGCGGAGAAAGGTGGCGCGGGCGGCAATCTACGATTTCATGCGGCATGCAAGACTCTACAGAGCGGAAAAGCTGAGGAAGGCAGGGGGAGGCAATGGCCAGGGGGAGGCAATGGCCAGGGGGAGGCAATGGCCAGGGGGAGGCAATGGCCAGGGGGAGGCAATGGCCAGGGGGAGGCAATGGCCAGGGGGAGGCAATGGCCAGGGGGAGGCAATGGCCAGGGGGAGGCAATGGCCAGGGGGAGGCAATGGCCAGGGGGAGGCAATGGCCAGGGGGAGGCAATGGCCAGGGGCAGCCACGGGACCCTTGGGGCGGCCTGGCAGGGGACGAGCGTGCGGCGATAGCGAGGATATGTGAAGCAGGTGATCAAGCCACGTGGAAGATCAACTTCCTTTCCATCTGGCAAAACCCCAAGACTTTCCACCGCCCACCGTAGACATGTACAGGGGGGAGGCTCCCGGGTTTCGGCTAAGGGTCGCCATGTCCCTCCAGAATCCAGTTACGACTGTGAATGTATTTGCATTGTATAGTGCAGACTCATTCAAAAAAAAAAAAGAAAAAAAAAAGTTTATAAAAGTACAATACAATCACTGTCATGCGAGATGGGATTGTACTTCCAAACGATTGGAGTGCTGGCAACGAGCCAGTGCTCAGCGGCAGAAAGTTATGGGCATGGCCCAGTGTATACGCATGAGCAAGGGTCGGGCCCAGCAGGATGTGAAGTACAGTTGAAGTGACCAGCAATGTATTCAAGTCGTGTTCCATACTCTTCTCGATGTGAAATATGAGTGCACGGCAGACACGGCTTAGCTGAGCCGGCAGCATTCCGCGCTGGTCCGCGACTGAGGTGGCTTGTGCCTGGCTGGCTAGCCAGCGGGCAGCCCGCGGTGGGAAGACTCAACACGCTGTCGGGCTGGCCTCTGTCTTAACCTGGGCGCTGAGCATGACAGGATTGGGGGAGTTGGGATGGTAACAGAGAGGAGCGCACAGTGCGTCATAATGGGGTGTAGGGCAGGGATCCCAAGGGCTCTCACACCTGCCACTGTCATGCCACCACTGCAGTACCACATGCACCACTGCAGTACCACATGCACCACTGCAGTACCACATGCACCACTGCAGTACCACATGCACCACTGCAGTACCACATGCACCACTGCAGTACCACATGCACCACTCCAGTACCACCTGCACCACTGTAGTACCACATGCACTTCCTCACTCCTATGCGTTACCCGTGCATGTCACGGGCCACGGCCCATGGCTATGTGTCATCCTTCCCACACAACCCACCATTCAATGCGGCCTGGCACGTGTCATCGCGGGTCGCTTCTTGAATCACTCCGCCACTGTGCTGCTTGGCGTCATTCACTCCGCCACTGTGCTGCTTGGCGTCATTCACTCCGGGCCAAATGCACATTCTGGAAGCCGCATTATCTCTTGGCATGTGCATTTCTCAATTCTTCTTCTCTGCCGTGCGTCTGCCCTCGTTGCCACCCCCGTGTGCCACGTGTGAGGCAGACGAGAAGATAGCACTGCTGGGAGCCATCCAGTCGCTGTTTGAGGGCAGCATGTACACCTTTGTCTTCCTCTGGACGCCCGCCCTCGCCCCCTCGGACCAGCGCATCCCACACGGCTTCATCTTCGCCATCTTCATGCTCGCCTCCATGACCGGCTCCTCCCTCGCCGCCCGCCTCATGGCGCGCCCCGCCCTGCGAGTGGAGCTCTACATGCAGATCGTCTTCGCCGTCTCCTCCCTCTCCCTCCTCGTCCCTCTCTTCACCTTCGTCAGTGCTCCTCTGCGCCCCACCTGCTTCCCCCGTATCTCCCTCTCCTGCACTCGATCTGCACTCGCTCTGTGTGATACACTGCACTCCCTCTGTGTGATACACGGCTCACTCATCGCCTTCACTTATTGTTGTTTATTTCTCGACTTTCCATTGTCAAGGGGTTGTTCTATTCAGGTGCTCTCTCACCTAAAGTTCCCTATTCGTCTCCTCGTTGCACCACTACACATCCCCAACCCCTCCTTTCCGCCGCATCACCACTCCCTGCGCCTTTCCAGCCATCTGACTGTTGTGTCTCGTACTTAATTTGCCTTACTGCCCGTCCCTCCGCCCATCCCTCCGCCCATCGCGGCTACGCGGTATGCAGTTTGTGTTGGAGCCGGTGGCGCCGGACGGGGGAGGCATCACGCGCGGGGGGCGGGTGCAGCTGGTGGGGTTCTGTGTGTTTGAGGTGTGTGTGGGCGTGTTCTGGCCGTCCATCATGAAGATGCGCTCGCAGTTCATCCCCGAGGAGGCGCGCGCCACCATCATGAACTTCTTCCGCATCCCCCTCAACTGCTTCGTCTGCATCGTGCTCTACAATGTATGTGCGCTCTACAATGTATGTGCGCTCTACAATGTATGTGTGCTTTACAATGTATGTGTGCTTTACAATGTATGTGCGCTCTACAATGTATGTGTGCTCTACACTGTATGTGTCATTCACACCCATCTCCCCCAATCCTCATTACATTCACCCCTCCTCTTCTCCCTCACCCCTCCCCGACCCTGCCACCCTCCCCCCTCTCCCCCCCTGGCGGCAGGTGAGTGCATTCCCCATCACAGCCATGTTCGGCATGTGCTCCATCTTCCTCGCCATGGCTGCTGTGCTGCAGCGCCGCCTCTTCGCCATCTCCTCCCCGAGCAAGCCCGGCACGCCCGCCTGCCACTGTGAGTCGTGGGATCATGCGTTACTCATTGCTTTTCTTTTGTGAAAGTGTGCCGCCATGTGTGTGTGCATGTGCAATTTGTGTGCATGTGTGTCATCCACATGCATGCCTACAGTTTGTACAATGTAACGAAGTTGGTGTGTATGTACAGTTCGTGTCACTCTTGTGTCTATGACTCTGTTTTGTCTACGATGGTTTTCTGCATCCGGTACCATGCTTTTTCCACTCTGCTTTCACTACATGCCCATGTGCACTTGTGCAGCAAATGCCGATGAGAATAAGATGCGGGAGACAGAGCAAGAACAACTGTTGTGAATCTCATGACTTGGGCAGTCTGAAAAGTTGCAACAATTTCATGTATCCCACCCCTCTTAGTTCTGCCTGTTGCGTAAGGTTGCAGCACTGCCACATAGACACTTAAGGTAGTTGGGAGGTGCAGTTGGAACTTGGAAGAGCAAGGGAAAGCAGCCTGTGCTGACCCGAGTACCCTGAATTTGACGTCGGCCCTCATTTTACCGTAGTGATAGATGCATCTCTGTAATTTTACTGGACCGAAGACCCTAAAACCAGTTTCAGGATATCAAGGTTATGGCTTGGACCCTTATGAGAGCCAGGCCCCTAGATTCGTTTTGAGGTAGTCTGACGCCTCAGAGTACACCCCTCTTCCTAGTCTGGCTGTCAGAGTTACCTAATTGTTCTAGTCTGAAAATTCAGACAACACTACGTTTTTTACGCCGAACGTTCAGAGTTAAACACAATTTCTGTTTTGTCTTAAACTGAAACATAGAATAACGAGATTTACAGCTCTGACAAGGCGAATCTCTACTCTGACAAGGCGAATCTCTACCCTCACAAGGCAAATCTCTGCCTAGGCAGGGCGAATCTTCGCCCTGACAGTTAGAATCTTCACCCTGACAGGGCGAATTTTCGCACTTCGCTCTGTACAGGGCGAATCTCTTCGGTCTGTACAAGGCGAACCTTCGCACTTCACCCTAGGCAGGGCGAATCTCTTCCTTGACAGGGCGGATTTTTGCCCTGACAGGTTGACTCTTCGGTGTGATAGAGGGCAAAAGTGGTGTGACAAGGCAAGCGTGTGCCCGATGGGCCCATCTGACGCATCAGGGGGGTTCAAAACCTAGCGAGGACCCTGCTCGGGAGTTTGCGGTGCCGCGCTCGAGAAATTTTGGTTTCCCCCCCGTGATTGACGGTGAGTGCTACACGCCACCAGGCTGGCGGAAACCGCTGTATTACGGGTTTCAGGGGGCACCCCCGATACAAGTATGAGGCTCAGCCTACACTAATAAAATTAGGCTGAAATTTCAGACAACTCACAAAGCAAAACTCTGAAAAATCAGACAAGGTACATAAAGATATTCTTAGACTTCAGACTAGGTACAAAAAAAAAGTCTGAACGGACTCTGAATCAGACTACAAAGTCTGATATCTAGGGCCCTGATGAGAACAAGTTATATTGAGAAAGCTTCCTTACTCTTATTTGTTGGCATCGTTCTCATTACAACTGACTTACCGTCACCCCCAGATATAAGCGCCACCCTGAGATAAGCGCCAGGCGCTTGTAATTGGCATATGGCGCTTATATCCGCTCCTCGATTATAAGCGCACCCCCTGAAAAGACTTATTATAAGCGCATGTAAACTATGAATTTTGAAATTGGTTCAAAACACTGTAATGATTCTTACTTCAGCAAACGGATGTGTTGCAAATTCGGTTCGCTTCACATTCGAACCCTGCACTCTGGATGCGAGTCCAGTCAGTAGGAGCTGTCAGGGGCACCTTGTGAGTCAGATCAAGTGTACCCCAGCGCCCGCAGGAATTTCACTGACACCATGTAACTTCGACCCGATTGGAAAGGCAAGAACGGGATCTACTGTTTGGTGTTAGAAAATATTAAATATATATATGTCATTTTATAAGCGCTTGTGCTTATAAATTTGACTCAATTATAAGCCCACCCCCCTAAATAACCCTGTTTTATTATACCCCCCCATGGGGGCTTATCTGGGGGGTGACAGCATTACAACATTTGCATCGAGATTGAACATAAGCTAGTTTATATCACTAGTTAAGATATATCTCCATCCAAGTGGCATTAGCAAGGCGTTTTACACTGAGGTGGGTGGTGGGCATGATGAGTGAGCCGTTGAAAATGGAGAAACGTGGGTGCGGAGAAATGAACACCAACACACGATTTTTGTAGTTGGAGAAGGTCGTTTAGCGCGCTTCGGCAATGCCAATTGTGCAGTACAAACAGCTTTGCTTTCACAATACACAACTATAAAGAGGCGATGGGATTAGCGGTGGAGGGGGGCATTTCAGAGAGAGAGCTAAAACTGACGAGGTGAGCGATGGGGCGACGACTCCATCGAGGGTCACGTGAGGGTAGGGGAGAAAAAGAGGATGAAATGAATGTTGTTTATGATCCGTCGCTTTGAGACCTTGCTATGAATTCAATTGTCAAGTAAACGCAAATAAACTCGAAAACTTCTAGCAGCTGCATGACTAGAATGATGGAGAAAGTACAAGTATCAGGGCATAGAATAGTTGGAGTTGGTGCCTCCTGTACTTTCTTTCCATTACCACCCTCTGCAGCTGCCTCTTCTCATTCCTCCCACACACTAGGAGTCAGGTCCAGCTGCATGGTGATCTGCTCCATTTGCTGGGACACCCTGGCCTCCGGCTGTTTCTCCCAGCTCCCATACATCATGCCCTCAACAAACTTCACATCCCTGCTGTCAAACAACACACCCTTTGAAGGCTCCCACAGCAGCCATCCCTTGCTCTCAGCAGCCATCCCCAAATGCACTCACCAGATTGCACTCGACCCCAACTTACTGCGGTAGGTCTTGGGGACGTGGGAGACTGCCATGCAACCGAAGACCCTCAGCATGTCCACCGGCGGCTTCCTCCCAAGCCACCTTTCCAACGGCACCCACGAGTCATCCCCAACCTTTGTCAGTACCTTGTTCCTAGCGACGGTAGCGTGCCGAACAGCATGGGGCCACATCAAGTTGCCCAGCCCAGATTCTATGAGCAGCGCCCTAGCTGTCTCCAGAATTGTCCGGTTCGCCCGTTCTGCTACACCGTTGGACTGTGGGGTGTAAGCCGTGGTCAGCTCCCTCTGGATGCCCTGCTTCTTGAGCCAGGCCGTCATCTCAGCTCCAAGGAACTCACCACCCCGATCTGTCCTAATCCGCTTCACCACACACTCCGCTTGCTTCTCCACGAACGGCAGCCAATCGTCCCGAATCGTGGAGGCGGCGTGATCTTTCTGCTTCAGTGGATACGCCCATATTATCCTGCTCTAGTCATCCACTATGGTTAGGAAGTACCGCTCCCCCTTGTGCCCTTGCACCGGCAGCGGCCCCACCAAGTCCATGTGGACCAGCTCCAACGGCTTTTTGCTCCTGCCAGCCACACTATGGAAGGGGAAACGGGTGAACTTTGAAAGGAGGCAAATTTCACAGTTATCATTGGGTGGTTGTCCGTTCAGCTTCAAGCCCTGAACGACTCCATCCTTCTCCAGCTGCTTCAGCAAAGGCATTGCCACATGCCCCAAACGTCGGTGTGCCGTTGCCCAATCCGTCTCCCCAGATCTGGCCGACACTTTCACACCAACCCCTCCAACGGCGTTGCACTCCCCCTGGGATGCAGACCCCTCTCCAGCCTGCCCCCCACCGTGCCACGCCAGCGCCGGCAGCTGCCACATAGATCTGTACACGTCCTTGCTCTCGTGCAGATCCCAAAGCACCCGATTGCCCAGCTTCCCCTTATAAGTGCGAGCCCCATCCGTGTTGGTGTTCACCCAAGCCTTGCCAAGCTTACAGAGAGAGATAAGGTTGGCCTTCAGGTCGGGGACGAGGAGAACGTCGTGTAGCACCACCAGCTTGCCATCCGCTCCCTTAAACGCAGCTCGTCCCGCACCAGCCACCTTCAACATGTGTCCAGAGGCAGAGCACACCTCGTTAATAGGTGCAGCGCGTACGTCGTCCAGCAGGTCCTTGCGCGGCGTCATTGTCCAAGCAGCGCCTGTGTCCAACACCCAATAGTCCAGGGGGTGCAGCTCTGCTCCAACCTTAGCAGATGCTTCTCCTTGCTCCCCCTTGTCTCCCACATGGAAGTATTGGCCCCCGGTGTGCTCCTTCTTCTTCTCCGCACCGCCGTTGCCCTTCGGGTTGTTGTCGGACGAATCAGCGACCATGTTGGCGCCGTTTTTCTGGTTCCTCCGCGCGCCGCCATCCTGGTGACGATTCTGGGGGGTCCATCCATCGGGTTTCTTATAGCACAAAAACCAGGGGTGCCCTTCTTTCTCACAATACCAGCAACTCCCTTTCATTTTGCCACCAGCACCTGACTTTCCCCCACGTCCAGATTTCGCACCGCGACCACAACCGGTACCTCCTTGTTGGTCGTTGGAGTCGTCATCTTTCTTTGCACCGCGTCCAGCACCACCAAAGCCACGTCCTTTGCCACGTCGGCTCCCTTGCATCCCGTAGCCGCTGCTGCCGTCGTATCCACCCCTCAGTTGGCGGCGACGGAAGTCCTCCTCCAGAATCTTCGTCCGCACCCACTCGAGCGTCCACAAGCTCTGGTTCTGCGGCAGGCTCAATCCACTCATGAATTGAAGCCACGATTCCGGCAGCAGCGAGAGCATCTTCAGGCACTTGGTCTGCTCCGGGTAGGTGATTCCCGCGATCGCCAGCTTCGCGTAGAGATCACGCATCTTGTCCAGGATGGGTTGCACCGGCTCTCCCTCGCTTAGGCGCAACGCGGACAGCTCCCTCTCCATCATGAGCGTCGCAGCGACGGAGGTAGGGGCGTGCAGCTCCTTCAACACCGTCCACGCCTTCGGACCGCACTCAACCTCCGGCAGCAGGTGCATGACGTGGTGACGCTGGTTCAGCTCCAAACTCTGCGACATCAAGTAGTAGCCAGCCGAGGCGCGCTCGTCCCAATCTTCCTGAAGGGCGGGGTCGCTCGGTCTAGGTTCCTCCCCAATCATTAGTTTCAGCAAACCGATCGAACGG